CTGAATGCTCCTGAATTGCTTCGTTTTCATCTGAATTTCTTCTGAAAATGAGTAAGGTCTTCGGTCGGTGATGATTTCCGCGATGCTGATAACAGATAGAGGTTTGGGCTCTTTGACAAAGATGTAGTACTTCAGACCTTCTATCATTTTGCTGAAGACTGTTATCAGTTATCTCTTATCAGTGTCGCGGAAAACGCGAAAAATGATAAGAAAAAAAACCTTGCTATACACGTGTGTTTTTGATTTGCGCCCAACTGATAAGAGATAACAGATAACAGTCTTCAGCAAAATGGTAGAAGGTCTTGAGTACTACAACTTTGTCGAAGACACCAACCCACTATCTCTTATGAGCTTCGCAATACCCGCGACTGACCGTGGACCATCACACATTTTCAGTAGATTCAGAAGATTTCGAAGCAATTCAGGAGCATTCATAAGTGCTTCGCCGGATTCAGAAGAAATTCAGATGAAAACGAAGCAATTCAGGAGCATTCAGAAAAAAGAAGCAAAACTGTCCGATTCATCAATGCTTTTTAGTAGCAATTCAGTAGCAAAAATTTACACCCGGGTAGTCAATGCTCTGTGATGTGCTTTGTGCTGAAGCGATGATGGAATAGCAATGGACGAAATGCGCACACAGTCACACGTCGCAATGACAGGTGTCAAAAGTCGAACTTCGAAATATGGTGTAGTGTTACCGCAGTGACTTTCGCGTTTTTCGATGAGTCCAGGTTGTCTATTTCGAATATAGAAGAGGAACAATTTGTAATTTGCAAAGCAGCGAATATTTCCTTTTTGATTTTATTCTAGCATGGGATTGGATTGGAAGAATTTCGAAATACATTTTGAATATAACACCCGAAAATTGCGACGTGTTTGATCCTCCATGTAGTCAAAGCATTGCGCAAAATTGGATTTCGATAGATGTCGCCTTTATCCAACCGCAAACAAATCAATCTATTATGAAGGAAAAAATAATTGCCAATTCAATTTACGGCTGGATACTCGATGTTAGCGCTTCTTTTGTCTTCTCAAAAATGACTTTGAAACCAATCCAAATACGTGGCACCAATTAATCGTTGAATCTTGGAAAATGTGAGAAGTAGTTTATTAAATCTAATCAAAATGCATTTGATCTGGGTTCCAAGCAAACTAAAATATCATTCTTATGAATCCTTGCCATTCAATTCTTATCAAAATAAATCATACAGTTGTTTTCACAGCGAAATTACATGATATTTGTCATAATCAATGATTCAAGCAATGCTCAAAAGCTGTTTTTCGTGCTGTGGATGTAATTTTTCTGCCCTAAAAGGTGATAGAAAATCACATATCATACAAATATCCCTCACACTAAAATCAGTCCCATAATGAAGTAGTTTGTCATCTTTTAATTTTATTTAATCAATGTCAATTGCAATCGAAAGGAAACTCGATACACTTTCGTATTTGTGTTTATTAATGAAAATTGTATAATTAAAGTTGTGCCTATAGATGTGATCGATTTCAAGTACAATTCTTCGCCAGCAGACAGCTACTTGTGAATTTTCTTGTGTTGATTGAGATTTATCTTTTGCGAGAAGCACTTCGAGCATACTTCACATCGGAATGGCTTTTCGCCAGTGTGGACCAGCATTTGGTCCATCAAATTTCCTTTCTGATCAGTTGTGTAGCTCTTGCACACATCGCATCGGTATCCGTGTCGCTTGCAGTTGGTTTCGTTTCCTTTTCCTTCTGTTGTGCAAAGTTTTTGAAACAAGATGAACACTTGAACTTCAATGGACGAGGATTGGCGTGGGATTTGCGGTGGCGTTCCAAATTACTCGCAAGATTGAATCTTTTCAAGCATTGGTCGCATTCGAATGATCTCTCGCCGGTATGCACGCGCAGATGATGTTTCAAATTCGTCTTATTCAATGTTGAGAATTCCTTGCAGAGATGACACTCGTAGCAACGTACCTTGCAACCGGTTTCATGTTCCACTTTCTCGTCGCTGCGATGAAATCCTTGCGAACAATTCGAGCAGCCGAACAGAAATTCATCGACGTGAGTTTTCATGTGCGATCGGAGATGTTGTTTTGTTGAGAATCGCTTTTGGCACACGCAACACGGAAAAGGTTTTTCACCAGTGTGCTTGAGCACGTGCCTTTTCAAATTGCGTTTGTCCGAAGTCTGATACTCGCACAATGAACACTTGTGTCGCTTTTCATTTGTCTTGTCTTGAGCTGGTTTCTGCTTGCTACCAAAACTGTTTGCTTCGCCACTTTTTTCAACCTTGGCTGAACATTTTTTTGCCGCACCGCCATCCGATCCATTTGGTTTTGGTTTCGGGAAACTCTTGTTCGCATCGTTCCGTGGCTTGCGATTTTCGTCAGAGCTTGTTGTGTATCACTACATGCAGTTACATACTGTTAGTCATTTTATTTGCACACGGGACGTCACCATACGATTAGATTGTTTGGTTGGTTTTGTTAACGCTCAAGACATTGATTTCATGCTGTGGAAGTGAATATTTCCATGCTAATGAGAATTAGAATTGTGAGTGTTCTGAATGAGTAACAAATTTTAATTCATATACGTTTGTCATGATGCAATTAGTCAAAAAATATCAATTGGAATAAAAGGACCAGGTTTTATTCTTGATACATTTTAGAATTTGTTTTTATTTAAAGTAAATTGAAAAGTAAAAGTTGCGTCTTTCCATGTGGTCGATTTCAATTCCTTGGCAGCAGAGAGCTACTTGTGAACCTTCTGGTGTTGGTTGAGATTTGCATTTCGCGAGAAGCACTTCGAGCAGGTTTCACATCGGAATGGCTTTTCGCCAGTGTGGACTCGCATGTGCTTCATTAAATCTCCTTTTTGATCAGTTGTGAAGGTCTTGCACAAATCGCACCGGTATCCGCGTCGCTTACAGTTGACTTCATGAGTTTCTTTTTCTTTCTGTTGTGCGAAGTTTCTGAAACAAGATGAACACTTGATTTTGAATGGACGAGGACGAGGATTGGTGTGAGTTTTGCGGTGGCTTTCTAAAGCACTTGCTTGCTTGAATCTTTTCAAGCATTGATCGCATTCGAATGGCCTTTCGCCGGTATGCACGCGCAGATGACGTTTCAAATCCGTCTTCACCAAACTCGAGATTTCCCTGCACAAATGACATTCGTAGCGACGTATCTTGCAACCGGTTTCATGTTCCACCTTCTCGTCGCTGCGATGAAATTCTTGCAAGCAATTTGAGCAACTGAACAGAAACTCATCGACGTGTGTTTTCATGTGCGATTGGAGATGTTGTTTTTGGGTGAATCGTTTTGGACACATACTGCAAGGAAATGGCTTATCGCCAGTGTGCTTCAGCATGTGTGTCTTCAAATTGGTTTTAATGTCAGTGACGTAATCGCACAATGAGCACTTGTGTCGCTTTTCATTTGTCTTGACTTCTTCAGTTTTCACCTTCTTTCCACCTAAATTCGCCATTTTTCTTTCTTTTTCGGTGGCTGTAGTTGCATTTTTCTCTACGTTACCATAAATCTGCACACCAGATTTTTGTTTCTTTCCCTTCGAATAACGCTTCCTTGCATTGTTTCGTGGCGTTTGGTCTTTGCTACAGCTTTTCCCTGGAACTTGATTCACCTTAATTCTGACCTTTTCAATCTTCACTTCCGATTTTACCTCATCCAAATCATAGAAATCGAAGCAATCGTTGCTGTCATCCACTTCTTTACCACCAGTCGAACTGCCACGTGATGCAATGGCTGTGTGTATTGGCCGCGACACCATCAAAATTTCGCCGGAGACTTCATTCTCTTGTTTAATGGTTGGCTCCTGTTTGATTTCCATTCCACACAAAATCGATTGATTTTGTAATGTAATGGCATTGAATTGCTGCCTATTGGGCGGCTTTGTACTGTGACCATCCATTGCGGCGGGGCTGTTTTTATTGCTGTCAACCAGAAAATAAGAATGACCTTTTGTTAGAACCACACATGAAAACTGGGAAAAATACACTTTGTGCTAAAACTAACCTTCCTGCACAACTGTTTTTTATTGTTAGAAATCAATCAGAAATCAAATGTTTTATTTCGTTATTGCAGAATTAAATTGGTCGAATATCCAAACTCAGCGAATAAACTACAGAACACGAATTGTGTGTTGGAATGATTCTGTTGAGTGGAGCAAAAATGGCGTCGCGAATAAAAGAAAATATTCAATTTGACGTGTAGTCAATGCTCTGTGATGTGCTTTGTGCTGAAGCGATGATGGAATAGCAATGGACGAACAGCGCACACAGTCACACACTTCAATGACAGGTGTCAAAAGTCGAACTTCGAAATATGGTGTTACCGCAGTGACTTTCGCGTTTTTCGATGAGTCCAGGTTGTCTATTTAGAATATAGAATAGGAAAAATTTGTAATTTGCAAAGCAGCGGATATTTCATTTTTGATTTTATTCTAGCATGGGATTGGATTGGAAGAATTTCGAAATACATTTTGAATATAACACCCGAAAATTGCGACGTGTTTGATCCTCCATGTAGTCAAAGCATTGTGCAAAATTGGATTTCGATAGATGTCGCCTCTATCCAACCGCAAACAAATCAATCTATTATGAAGGAAAAAATAATTGCCAATTCAATTTACGGCTGGATACTCGATGTTAGCGCTTCTTTTGTCTTCTCAAAAATGACTTTGAAACCAATCCAAATACGTGGCACCAATTAATCGTTGAATCTTGGAAAATGTGAGAAGTAGTTTATTAAATCTAATCAAAATGCATTTGATCTGGGTTGCAAGCAAACTAAAATATCATTCTTATGAATCCTTGCCATTCAATTCTTATCAAAATAAATCAAACAGTTGTTTTCACAGCGAAATTACATGCTATTTGTCATAATCAATGATTCAAGCAATGCTCAAGAGCTGTTTTTCGTGCTGTAAATTTAATTTTTTTGTTCCAACAGGTGATAGAAAATCACATATCATACATATATCCCCCACACTGAAATCAGTCTCATAATGAAGTAGTTTGTCATCTTTTAATTTTATTTAACACTATGATTGTTCTTGGGGCACCCAGGGCCCCCAGCGAACTTTAAAGTTGAATAAAAGTACTAAACAGTGTATAAACCAACCGGAGTTAAGTCTCATTGTATAGATTGAACATTTCTCTACACGAATGAAAAAAAACATATGCATATGTGTGAGTATGTGTAAAATACAGCCTGCCGCAAAACATGTTACGCTGTTGTTCTTGGGGGACCACAGGGCTCCATGGCTATTTTATATTATAGCTGGACTATGATAAGAGATATCGACTTGGTGTCTATGACGAAGTTATAGTACTCAAGCTGCTCTACAACTTCGCCGTAGACATCAAGTCGTTATCTCTTATCAGTTACGCGAAAAGCGAAAACGTGAAAAACGCGAATTCATAGTTTCTCACTTTTCAAGGAACTGATAAGAGATAACGAAGTGGTGTCTATGGCAAAGTTGTAGCTCTGGTCGAGTACTACAACTTTACTACGACACCAAGTCGTTATCTCTTATCAGTTACGCGAAAAAATGATAAGAAAAAAATCGCGTTTTTCACGGTTTTCTGCGGTTTTTCGCGTATTCCGCAAAACTGATAAGAGATAGCGAAATAGTGTCTATGGCAAAGTTGTAGTTCTGGTCAAGTACTACAACTTCACTACAGACACCAAGTCGTTATCTCTTATCAGTTACGCGAAAAAATGATAAGAAAAAATTCGCGTTTTTCACGGTTTTCGCGGCTTTTCGCGTAACTGATAAGAGATAACGACTTATAGTCTAAAGCGAAGTTGTAGCACTTAAGCTGCTTTACAACTTTGGTAAAGACACCATCTCGTTATCTCTTATCAGTTTCGAGGAATACGCGAGAAACCGCAGAAAACCGTGAAAAACGCGAATGTTTTCTTATCATTTTTTCGCGTAACTGATACGAGATAACGACTTAAGGTCTGTGGCAAATCATAGTACTCGACCAGAGCTATAACTTTGCCATAGACACCATCTCGTTATCTCTTATCAGTTCCGTGAAAAATGATAAGAAAAAAACGCGTTTTTTTCGCGGTTTTCAGCGGTTTCTCGCGTATTCCGCGAAACTGATAAGAGATAACCAGATGGTTTTCGGCAAAGTTGTAGAGCAGCTTGAGTACAACAACTTCGCCATAGACATCAAGTCGTTATCTCTTATCAGTTACGCGAAAACCGCGAATTTTTTTCGCATAACTGATAAGAGATAACGACTTGGTGTCTGTGGCAAAGTTGTAGTATTCGACCTGCTCTACATTTCTGTCAAAGAGGCAAGTCTCTTACTTCTTATCAGCTTCACTAAAACGATGTCGGAAAATTTTGCGATTTTCGCGTTTTTCGCGGAACTGATAAGAGATAAGCAATATTTGTTGCGCCAAAATTATAGCAAACTTTGAGTATTACAACTTTGCTTCAGACACTAATTTGTTATCTCTTATCACAGTCCAGATTTCATATGAAATATCTTGGGGGCCCTGGAGTCCCCCAAGAACAGTAATATGTTGCAAATATGAAGAACAGTCATAGTGTTAATCAATGTCAATTGCAATCGAAAGGAAACTCGATGCACTTTCGTATTTGTGTTTATTAATGAAAATTGTATAATTAAAGTTGTGCCTATAGATGTGATTGATTTCAAGTACAATTCTTCGGCAGCATAAAGCTTAGCCTGGCCCAAAAAAAAAGTTGTCCCTCATCTGGAATGTCCGGCCAGTTTCGAAAAATATACCTAAAAAAAAATAGGTTTGGCGCAAAGATTGCACATGGGTACCATATAAAAAACCATAGCAAGCCCCACATCAAAATTTTCATGACAGTGTTTTTGGAAGCCATTTTAGATCGCAACATTTCAACCAATTTCATTATCCCAGCTAATTTTCGGCAAAAACTGATGATGGGGTTTTGTCTGGCTCGTCAATATCTACAACTTTTACCAAGACATCAGCCCTTGAAAGGCCTTCTGGGCCAGTTACAGTGTAAAATGACCGGAAAAATGGCAATTTTTCGGCATTTTTTGCTTTTTTCGCTCTACTGGCCAACCAGGTGGTAGACTTTTGTTCAGTTTTGGACTTGTGTCGTGTAGCCAAAACCTGCAAAAAAACTTTGGTACTTGTCAGATTGCGATTTTGATGGAATTTGGCGGCAATTGATTCACACATATAAGACAAATTTCAGGCCAAAATGAGCAAATCACAAACATGAGCTTCGGTTTGACAGGTAAAAGCAACTGATTTCTACCTTTTCTGCCTTCCAACATCTAGTATGGTTCTTTACGAACATTTTGGGTACTTACATGACCAAATCGAGTGATGTTTTCACATATTTCTGGCCTCATATTCGATTTCAACCGAGGGGCAAATCACTCTAAAGTAATTTGTAATAGAGAAAGTAATTTACGTGTAAATATCTCGATTACTTTCTCTATTACAAATTACTTTAGAGTGATTCGCCCCTCGATTTCAACTCCCAAAAAATCGACTTTTGACCAAAAAATCCTTAAGTATAGGCTTTTCAGGGATGGTGTCTTGGTGCAATGTTATTTTTTCTCGAAAATATGGGGAGGCTACCCAAACAAAAACTCTCAAAATGGACTTTTTAAGGTACCTCCCGAACAAAAGTTACGTTTTTCATGCATTTTTCTATGAAAATATCAATTTTTGTTCGGAAGGTACCCCAAAAATCATTCATAAGAAATTCTGTGTGAGTAGATTCCCAATATTTCTCGAAAAAAATAACTTCGTACTAAGAAACTCATCCAAAAAGTGTATTTTTGGGGTACCTCCCGAACAAAAATTGATAATTTCATAGAAAAATGCATGAAAAACGTAACTTTTGTTCGGGAGGTACCTTAAAAAGTCAATTTTGAGAGTTTTTGTCTGGGTAGCCTCCCCATATTTTCGAGAAAAAATAACATTGCACCAAGACAACATCCCTGAAAAGCCTATACTTAAGGATTTTTTGGTCAAAAGTCGATTTTTTGGGAGTTGAAATCGAATATGAGGCCAGAAATATATGAAAACATCACTCGATTTGGTCATGTAAGTACCCAAAATGTTCGCAAAGAACCATACTAGATGTTGGAAGGCAGAAAAGGTAGAAATCAGTTGCTTTTACCTGTCAAACCGAAGCGTATGTTTGTGATTTGCTCATTTTGGCCTGAAATTTGTCTTATATGTGTGAATCAATTGCCGCCAAATTCCATCAAAATCGCAATCTGACAAGTACCAAAATTTTTGTGCAGGTTTTGGCTACACGACACAAGTCCAAAACTGAACAAAAGTCTACCACCTGGGTGGCCAGTAGAGCGAAAAAAGCAGAAAATGCAGAAAAATTGCCATTTTTCCGGTCATTTTACACTGTAACTGGCCCAGAAGGCCTTTTCAAGGGCTGATGTCTGGTAAAAGTTGTAGATATTGACGAGATAAACAAAACCTCATCATCAGTTTTTACCGAAATTTGGCTAGAATAATGGAATCGGTCGAAATGTTGCGATCTAAAATGGCTTCCGAAATCGCTGTCATGAAAATTTTCATATGGGACTTGGCACGGAATTTTATATGGTACCCATATCGTTTTTTTGGACAAAACCTATTTTTTTGAGGTATATTTTTCGAAACTGGACGTCACTTTTTTTTTGTGGCCAACTTTTTTTTTGGGCCAGGCTAATACAGCTACTTGTGAATTTTCTTGTGTTTGTTGAGATGTGCCTTTTGCGAGAAGCACTTCGAGCATATTTCACATCGAAATGGCTTTTCGCCAGTATGGATTCGCATGTGGTCCATCAAATGAGTTTTCTTATCAGTTATGTAGCTCTTGCACACATCGCATCGGTATCCGTGTCGCTTGCAGTTGGCTTCATGATTCTCTTTTTCCTTCTGTTGTGTGAAGTTCTTGAAGCAAGATGAACACTTAAACTTCAATGGACGAAGATTGGTGTGAGATTTGCGATGGCCTTTCAAAGCAGTTGGGTGGTTGAATGTCTTTGAGCATTGGTCGCACTCGAATGGTCTCTCGCCGGTATGAATACGCAGATGACGTTTCAAATTCGTCTTAATCAATGTGGAGAATTCCTTACACAGATGACACTCGTAGCGACGCACCTTGCAACCGGATTCGTGTTCCACCTTCTCGTCGCTGCGATGAAATCCTTGCAAACAATTTAAGCAGCTGAACAGAAATTCACCGACGTGTGTTTTCATGTGCGATTGGAGATTTTGTTTCTGGGTGAATCGCTTTTGGCACACGATGCATGGAAATGGTCGTTCACCAGTGTGTTTGAGCATGTGAGTATTCAAATTTGTTTTGTTGTCAGTGATATAATCGCACAATGAACATTTGTGTCGCTTTCGATTTGCCTTGCCTTCGGTTGGCTTCTTCTTGTCATCGAAACTGTTTGAATTCTTATTTTTCCCGGTTATAGCTGCAACGCCATTCAACCCACTTGACTTCTGATTCTTGTCCTTGGAAAGATGCTTCTTTGGATTGCTTTGTGGCGTTCGATTTTTGACAAAGCTTCTTCCTGGAACTCGATTTGCCTCATCCTTGACCTTCTCGATCTTCACTTCCGATTTTACCTCATCCAAATCGTAGAAATCAAAGTGAACGCCGGTGTCAGTCATTTGTGTACCACCAATCGAATTATCAAGCGATCCAATGGCTGTGTGAGCTGATCGCGACACCATCAATATTTCGTCGGAGACTTCATTCTCTTGTTTAATGGTTGGCTCCTGTTTGATTTCCATTCCACACAAAATCGATTGATTTTGTTGTGGTATACGGATATGAATGAAACACGAGCGGTATGAGTGAGTGCCAAGTAGAGACTGACTATTTATTAATGCTATTCTATTGACAATCGGTGTGACAGCTATCGCTGTCGCTGTCACTATGCTTCATCTCCCCCTTTTTTTCAGAATGAAATTTATTTTATTCTTTATTTAATTTATTCTTAATCTATTTAATTTCATCCTGAAACAAAAAAAAAATCTTTATTATATTTCTTTTAGTTGGAATCAGAGGATGAAATTGTTTTTTTTTTCTTTATTTTGTTTAATTTCATCCTTCAAGTGAGAAACAACAAACAAATGTGTTTCTTTTTTATTTTTGTTTTCAAAAGAAGAGAAAAAAAAAATCTTAATGCTAATATCGTCGGCCACTTCGTGTGACCTTCTGATATTGAGGCTTCTGGAAAGTATCGCGGTTATCATTATTTGTTATTGTTTTGTCTTCAAAAAAATTTTTTTATGTGGTTACTGTTCCTGCGATACAGTCGATCGTTTGATTGAATTAGATACGAACGTGGTTCAGCACAGGCTTTAATGATTATTCCATGCTGCCATTTATTATTGTTAATGAAAAGAACCTTTTCATTCGGTTCGAAGGGTGCTCGTTGTCTCGTTCCTATGTCATAATACCTCTTTGAGTTTGTTTGTTTTCTTTCATGCTGTTTCTCGACGTCAACACAAATTTGTGGCTTAAATTTATTTACATGCATCGGAATGTTCGATCTCAAGTTACGATTTTGCATTAATTGGGCCGGAGTATAATTCATGTATTTTGTTGGCGTTGTTCTGTATGCGAGCAACGACTTGTAAATGTCATGCTCCGAGCTCGATTTTTTGAGAATGTGTTTACAAATTTGCACCATTCGCTCGGCCATGCCATTTGACTGTGCGTAATTCGGGGAACTATTAATTATTTCTACATCATTTTCTCTCGTAAATTCTTTACTTTCGAACGATCCAAACGGCATATTATCCGCAATGATAATACGTGGATAACCAAATTGTGCAAAGATTTTAATTAACTCGAGATTTGTTGTGCGTGCTGTTTTGTCTCTCAACTTTATCAATTCTATCCATTTCGAATAGTAATCTACAACAACCAAATAATCTTTCCCCTTGTGATATAAGATATCACATGCGATTTTTATGAATGGACCATTTGGAATTTCATGCGGTATCATTGGCTCTTTACGTTTTTTCGGTGCATTTTCCTGGCAAATTCTACATCGAGTCGTTATGTGTTCAATATCATTATTTATGTTCGGCCAATAAACAGACGCTTTCGCTCTTTCGATCGTTTTCGTTATTCCGAAGTGAGGTTCATGTAGTTGTTGCAGTATAAATTTTCGCATGACTTTTGGTATAATGACTCGTTCATTATAAAATAGCAAATCGTCTTCCAAAATTATGTCGTTTTTTAATCTAAACAAATATCTGAGAGGCTCTGGGCATTTTTTCTTTTCATTGGGCCAACCGTCTTTACAGTACTCTTTCACCTTTCTTAAAACTTCGTCTTTTTCTGTCTCTTTCTTCATCTCGCTCTTTCTCTCATCGCTTACGTTAATCGACAAAATGGCATGTGAAATGTTTGTATCTTCCTCTGTGTCATCGCAAATATCTATATATCTCGACAAATAATCGGCTAAGTGTATTGTCTTTCCAGGTGCATATTCAAGACTGACCTCATAATTTAACATTTTGATTCGCATGCGTTGCAATTTTGCCGAAGCAATTTTATGTATGTCTTTTTGCATGATGCCTAACAACGGCTTATGGTCGTTTACTACACGGACTTTTCGGCCGTATGTGAAATAGTTGAATTTTGTGCATGCAAATACAATCGAAAGCATTTCCTTTTCGATTTGAGAATAATTCTGTTCTGTTTGTGATAGGCTTCGTGAAGCGAACGAGATTGGCTTGCCATTTTGCATTAAACAACAACCCAAACCGTCTTGTGATGCGTCGCACTGAATTACTATTTCTTTCAATGAATCGAAAGGCACCAAAATATTCGCCGTTAAAATGTAATGTCATTGAATTGCTGCCTATCAGGCGGTTCTGTACCGTGACTATTCATCGCTATGCAATTTTGGTGCTGTCAATCAGAAATCAAAATAACCTTTTGTTAGAACCACACATGAAAACTTAAAAAAATACACATTTTTGTTAAAACTCACCTTACTGCACAGCTGTTTTTCTATTGTAAGAAATTATTCAGAACTCAAACGTTTAATTTCGTTAATGCAAAATTAAATTGGTCCAAAATCCAAACTCAGCGAATAAACTATAGCTGGCAATAATTGTGTGTTGAAATGACTCTGTTGATGCAGAGCAAAAATGGCGTCGCGAATAAAAGCAAATATTTGGTTTGACGTGTAGTCGATGCTCTGCGATGTGCCTTGTGCTGATGCGATGATGAAAATGGACGAATAACGCACACAGTCACACACTGCAATGACAAGTGTCAAAAGTCGAACTTCGAAATATGGGGTAGTGTTACTGCAGTGACTTTTGAATTATTCGATGAATTCGGATTGTACATTTTGAAAATGTACGAAATATAATTGGTAATTTGCAAAGCAGCGAATATTTCATTTCTGAAAATTAATTTCTACTTGAATCAAATTCGATTGGATGAATTTCGTGATACATTTTGAATATTACGTCTTAAAATTGTGACAATTGAAGCGTTTAAGTGGCTTTGCGCAAAATCGCATTTTGATGAATATCATCCGTGAAAAACCGCTATCAAATCAAGATTTCATGTAGGAAATAATAATTGCAACTGGAACATACGGCTGCATACTCGATGTCAGTGCTTTATTCATCTTTTCACATATTTCTTTGAAACGGATTCTAGAACTTGACACCGAAAAACCGCCGAATAATGATTGCAATTACGAAAAACAATAAACTGCTTTATCTGAGATAATTTTCAAAAAAGTCTATTAAATCTAACCATCAAAATTTCAGTGAACCTAGAAACTTCAAACATATGAAACGGTACCAGTAGACATTTTATTTTTGTTCACAGCGGATTGATATGCAATCAATGATTCTACAATGTTCAAGAGCTCGATTTTGTGTGGCGAATGCAGTTTTTCTGTTCCAATAGATGATAAAAAACAACAAATGATATGTGCCCCACACAGTTGGCAGCTACGAAAAAATCAATCATTGAACCAATTTGTCATCATTCAATGACGCGAATAATTTCCATTGGAATGAAAAGACCAGATTTTATATTTGATATACTTTCCTGTTAGTTTTTATTTAATGCAAATTGATGATCAAAGTTGTACCTAAAGATGTGATCGATTTAAAGTTTAATTCCTTGACAGCAGACAGCTACTTGTGAATCTTCTTGTGTTTGTTGAGATGTGCCTTTTGCGAGAAGCACTTCGAGCATTGGCCACATCGGAATGGCTTTTCGCCAGTGTGGATTCGCATGTGTCTCATCAAATGTCCTTTCTGATCAGTTGTGTAGGTCTTGCACAGATCGCATCGGTATCCGCGTCGCTTGCAGTTGGCTTCATGATTTTCCTTTCCTTCCTGTTGTGCGAAGATTTTGAAGCAAGATGAACACTTGATTTTGAATGGACGAGGACAAGGACGAGGATTAGCGTCGGATTTGCGGTGATATTTCAAAGCACTTGGTTGATTGAATCTCTTTGAGCAATGGTCGCATTCGAATGGCCTTTCGCCGGTATGCACGCGCAGATGACGTTTAAAATCCTTTTTAGCCAATGTAGAGAATTCCTTGCACAGATGACACTCGTATCGACGTACCTTGCAACCGATTTCATGTTCCACTTTCTCGTCGCTGCGATGAAATCCTTGCAAACAATTCGAGCAGCTGAACAGAAATTCATCGACGTGTGCTTTCATGTGCGATTGGAGGTATTGTTTTGTTGTGAATCGCTTCTGGCACAGGCTGCATGGAAATGGTCGTTCGCCGGTGTGCTTGAGTATGTGTCTTTTCAAATTACTTTCGTTGGAAGTCTGATACTCGCACAATGAACACTTGTGTCGCTTTTCATTTGCCTTGCCTTCGGGTGGCACCTTCTTGCCACCGGAACTGTTTGCTACGTCACATTTTTCGGGTTTGGCTGAACATTTTTTTGCCGCACCGCCGATCCATTTGATTTTGGTTTCGGGAAACGCTTGTTCGCATCGTTTCGTGGCTTTCGATTTTCGTCAGAGCTCTTCCGTGGAACTTGATTCACCTCATCCTTAACCTTTTCAGTCTTTACTTCCGATTTTACCTCGTCCAGATCGTCGAAATGGACACAAATGTTGGTACCATTCTCTTGGTCACTAGCAGTTGCATTTTCAAGTGTTCCATTGGCTGTGTGTGCCGATCTCGTTACCATCACAATACCGTCGTTGCCTTCATATTCTTGTTTGACAGTCGGCTCTCGTTTGATTTCCATTCCGAACAAAATCGATTCATTCTGCAACGCAATGGCGTCGGAATTGTGTTCATCAGGCGGTCCTGTTCCTTCACCATTCATTGTGATGCAATTTCGGTGCTGTCAACCACAAATCAGAATGTTCATTAGAAACTACATATTGAACAAATTTTTGGAAAACCACACTTTGGCATTAAAACTCACCTTTCTGCAGTGAAAATATTCACAAATTAAACTTTTCGTTTCGTTATTGCAAAATTAAGTTGGTCGAAAATCCAAACTCAGCGAATAAACTACAAAACACGAATTGTGTGTTAGAATGACTCTGTTGAGCAGAGCAAAAATGGCATCGCGAAAAGAAGAAAATATTTATTGAGTTGAACTGAACGGGTAGCCGATTCACAAAGATGTGAAATATGTACTAATGCGATGATGAAACATCAATGAACGAACAGCTCACACAGTCATACGCTTCAATGACAGGTGTCGAAACTCGAAATATGTTGTAGTGTTGCCGCAGTGAATTTCGAATTTTTCGATGAGTTTGGGTTGTCTATTTCGAAAATGCACACAGTAAACACACAATGATTCTAGCAATGATGAGATTTGACACTTAACTTTGTTTCAGTACTATTTGCTCTAGAAACAGTTCGAAAGTTCTATAATAAATACATGAAGCTTTGATTTTTGATTTAGTACATTTTGAACATTTTCTATAATAGTACAAATGGTACTTAAATGGATTTTAGTGCCAAATTTCATATTGCGGTTCTAAAAGTTAGAACCATCGTGTTAACTGTGCAAGAGAGATAATTGGTAATTTGCAAAGCGGATATTTCATTTCTCAAAATTGATTTGCTTTTAGGATAAAAATGTATTGGGACAATTTCAAAATACATTTTGAACATAACAACCGGAAAATTATTGCATCTTGAAGGGTCAAATCAAGTAGCCGAAGTATTACGCAAAATCGCATTTTGATAGATGTCGCTTCTATCCAACCGCAAACAAATCAAGATATCATGAAAAAAAATAATAATTGTAATCAGAATTTACGCCTGGATACTTTTTCTTGAATGTCTCTGAAGGCAATTGTAGAACGTGTCTTCAATTAATTGTTGAATCTTGGAACATTTCAGGAGTATTTTATATTAAATTCAGCACTTGATGGCTGGGTTTCAGGGCAATTTACATGCCATTTGTACCAATCAATGATTCAAACCATGCTCAAGATCTGACTTTCGTGCTGTGAATAAAATTTATCTGTTGCATGAAAACAAAATATAATATTTCCCTCTCACGGTTGGCGGCTAAGCACAAATAATAAAAATCAGTCTCATAATGAAGTAGTTTGTCATCTTTTAATTTTATTTAAACAATATCGATTGCAATCAAAAGGAAACTCGATTCACCTCCATATTTGTTTTTGTTAATGAAAATTCAAAAGTAAAAGTTTTTGTCTTTTGATGTGATCAATTTCAAGTTTAATTCCTTGGCAGCAGACAGCTACTTGTGAATCTTCTTGTGTTGATTGAGATTTGCCTTTTGCGAGAAGCACTTCGAGCATATTTCACATCGGAATGGCTTTTCGCCAGTGTGAATTCGCATGTGGTCCATCAAATCTGGTTTACGGTCAGTTGTGTAGGTCTTGCACAAATCGCATCGGTATCCACGTCGCTTGCAGTTGGCTTCATGATTTTCCTTTTCCTTTTGTTGGGCGAAGTTTTTGAAGCAAGATGAACACTTGATTTTCAATGGACGAGGACGACGATTGATGTGAGTTTCAATGTGACGTTTCAAAGCGGTTGGGTGGTTGAATCTCTTTGAGCATTGGTCGCATTCGAATGGTCTCTCACCGGTATGCACGCGCAGATGACGTTTCAAATTCGTCTTAATCAATGTGGAGAATTCCTTTCACAGGTGGCACTCGTATCGACGTACCTTGCAACCGGTTTCATGTTTCACTTTCTCGTCGCTGCGATGAAATCCTTGCGAACAATTTGAGCAGCTGAACAGAAATTCATCGACGTGTGTTTTCATGTGCGATTGGAGATGTTGTTTCTGGGTGAACCGCTTCTGGCACATGCTGCATGGAAATGGTCGTTCGCCGGTGTGCTTGAACATGTGTGTTTTCAAAGAAGTTGCAAAGTCGGTGATATATTCGCACAATGAACACTTGTGTCGCTTTCCATTCACCTTTCTTTCAGTTGGCACCTTCTTGCTACTAAAACTGTTGGCTGTGCCACCTCCACCGGTTTTCGCTGAAAATTCCTTCAACGTACGATGGTGATTTGATCCACATGGTTTCGCTTTCGGGAAACTCTTCTTTGCATTGTTTTGTAGCTTTTCATCTTTGTTAAAGCTCATCCATGGAATTTGATTCGCCTCATTCTTATCCTTTTCAATATTAACCTCCAATTTCACATTATCCAAATCACAAAAATCCAAGTAACCATCGCTGTAATCCACTTCTTTACCACCAATCGAAATGCCAAGTGATGCAATGGCTGTGTGTATTGATCGCGTCACCATCAATATTTCGTCGGAGACTTCATTCTCTTGTTTGACGGTCGGTTCCTGTTTTATTTCCACTTCGGACAAAATCGATTCATTGTGCAATGCTGTGATATCGGATTTGTCTTTATCAGGTGGCTCTGTACCGTAACCATTCATTTCAACGCAAGGTCGGTGCTGTCAATCAGAAATCGGAATGGCCCTTTATAAGAAACCACACATGAGACCAATTCTGAGAGAATTACACTTTTTTTCGTTAAAACTCACCTTTCTGCACAAATCGGTTTTATTGCAAGAAATTGAAATCAAATCAAGTGTTTTGTTTCGCTATTGCAAAGATAAATTGGTCGAAAATCAAAACCCAGCGAATAATCTATAGCTTGCAAAAAATGCGTGTTGAAATGACTCTGTTGAGCAAAGCAAAAATGGCGTCGCGAATAAAAGAAAATATTTAGTTATAAATATTTAGACGTGAAGTCGATGCTCTGCGATATGCTCTGTGCTGATGCGCTGATGAAATAGCAATGAACGAACAGGGCACACAGCCACACGCTGCAATGACAAGTGTCAAAAGTCGAATTTCGAAATATCATGTAGTGTTACTGCAGTGAATTTCGAATTTTTCGATGAGTTCGGGTTGCACATTTTAAAAATGTACGGATTATGATTTGTAAGCAGCGGATATTTTATTTCTGAAAACTGATTTTCTTCTTCGCACTACGATAGATGTCATCTCTAAACCGCTAAAATTCAAGGTTCCATAAAATAGAAATTGTATAGAAATATTTTCACAGATTTGTTCGAAACCTATTCTAAAACTCGGCACCGAATAACCGTTGAATCTTGGCTAATTTTGGGAAAAGTTTATTAAATCTAACCAACATGCTATTGAGTTCTGGATTTCGGGGAACCCAAAAACTGTTTCTTATCAAATGATACCAGTCAAATCGACATTTTTGTTTTGTTCACGACGGATTGACATTGTGGATCAAAATTGATTACAATCAGTTTTTTAAATTTATTCTTGTCTTTTATCACATTTTTTTTCTTTTTTTAATGGGGAGGATAAGTTGTTATATTTTTGAATGCTTCTATTAATTATAGACTTTTCACCCCATTCGTTTTTTGCTTTTATTTTGCGCATATTTCTTCTTTGTCTTGTATTATGTTCATGAATTTCGTTATTTAATTCGATTTTAACATCTGCCTCAAGCTTTTGGGTTTTAATTTTGTGTAGGTTAATGTTTAGTTCAAGTTCAATTTAATTTTCGAAATTTATGATATTGTATTCTTTGTATAGTTCTTTTGTTCTAAAATTACCCGATCGATACTTGTTGTAGAAAAGATTTCTTATACATTTATTTTGCAAAGTTTGAATTTTGTTGATATTTTCATTGCTTGTACCACTCCAGACAGTTAAAAGGTATACAATATGCGAGTGGAAAAAGGAGTAATACAGTAGTTTTTTTTCACATGATCGTTGCACATATATGCGATTCTCTTGAATACACCAATATAGGGTTTGACTTTTTTTGTGACGTGTTCAACGTGTGAATTCCACGTCAGATTAGCATCAATATTCAGCCCAAGATATCTCATTTCATTTACTACTTCGATTTTTGAGTTGTTTAGAAAAATGTCTCCCAGGTTGTTAGCTATAGGTCTCATTGTGTTGAAGATCAATAGTTTAGTTTTTCCCCCATTTAAAACAAGGAGATTGTTCCTAAACCGCTCACTTATTTTGTTTAGATCTTCATTGGTTTGAAATGAGAGTGTTTCAATATCGTTACAGATGTATGTAATAGAGGAATCATCTGCATATAGCTGAAGCGAGCCATGAAGTTCAAGTTTAAAAATATCATTCATGAAAACTAAAAATAATAGTGGTCCAAGTTTAGAACCCTGAGCTACACCATATTTTGTCTCGCAAATGTTACTGTGTATTTTATCTACTTTGACAATTTGACTTCTGGTTGACACCACATATGAGTTAATTAAGCCAAATATATAAATATATCCTCTGATACCCAAATGCTCAAGTTTTTTCAATAAAATGCTTCTATCGACGCAGTCAAAAGCTTTGGCCACATCGAGGTAAATTGTGCAGCACAGCTTTTTCTCATTCAGCGCTCTCTGAATTTTGTGCACAAAAGTGATCCCAAGTGCGAACGTTACGTCTTTTAGAAGACGTGGTTCACGTATTCACGCCTTTCTCACGTCTTCTACATAATCACCACACGAAAGACGTACGTCTTCTGTGCAGTTATAATTGTTATAGCTGAAATTTCCCTCACCCCATTCTCGCGTATTCTGTATACCATTGCATAGGAGATGCACGTCTTTCAGACAGGAAATTATATAGAAGGCGGGAGGAAGGCGTGAATACGTGAACCACGTCTTCTAAAAGACGTAGCGTTCGCACTTGGTTAGTTACAACTTCTGTACAATTGTAGATTTACAATGGTTGAGATCTACTATTTAAATTACATTACAAATTATGACCACATTACTCAGGGGACAATATAGGGATTTTTTTTCCATTATATTCATTACACAATATTATTACATTTTAAGGCAATTTGAAGAGAAAAAGAAAGAGAGTTAGTAGGCGTTGGTTATTATAAATTAGGAGAGAAATGACTGCACAAACGATCACATAAGAATCGTTTCCTTGAGTCGCTTTGTTCATTCGTTCTATGGGTGTCAATTGTATGATTGCAATGTTGAAATCATAGTTTTGACATTTTTTTTACCCTTTTTTCGATTTTTGTCTGTGTGGCGGCCGTCTACATGGGAAGTTTGTATAAAAACTTCGTTGTAATATATATCGCAATTATTTCAGATAATCTTATAACTGTGCATATGCGAATGAAAAATAAAATGCATTTTTCTCAAATTTTCAAATTTATTCGGTTCTTTTGTTGAACATCAAATGACAGGGGCAAAAGAAGGGACGGTATTCAGCTTTTTCAGGCGCCTAAACCCCTTTTTTCAAGCCGATATTCTTTATCTTTGATTACGTCTCACCTTTGGCTTCCGGATCCAATCAAGCAACGGTGCAATCGGTTGAAAAATAACCTGTTTATCAGGAATACGAAATATGGTCATGCCCACGAGTTTCTTATTCTTCTTCGAAATCATTGGTCCTCCAAACGTAAAGGGAGTTCCCATACTTTCATCTAAAGTGTAACACATCAAATGATTTGCATCAAATAGTTCGCCCGATTTCGGTTTGCAAATGGCGCCATCCAAATACTTTGTATCATAACGCCTCGTT